CACACCGCAGCCCGGAGCAGCCTCTTAGCTCCGGAATCCGGTTCATTTCGAGCACCAACAAATTGTCCGGCCAGAGCAAAAGCACCACATACGTCACGCTTACGTCGAGGCGGGGGCAGGGGCAGGGGCAGGCGCAGGGGCGGGATCAACTCCTGAACAACAACAAAAAGCCGGCCTTTTATCCAGTTTGTACACAACGATGGAGAAACTTAACAAGCAGCAGTGGTCCACTGAAGAGACCAGCTACCTACTGGGAATCTGGTCTTCAGAAGAGGTACAGAGGAAGCTGGAGCACAATCGGCCATTGTTGTTGTTGTCGGTGTCAGCTCAGCTGTGAGGGGTTTCCGCGCGGTTTGGCTTTATGAAGCAGGCACGCAAACGGTTACGTCATGACGCAAACGATGACGCAATGACGCAGCACCAGTCGGACTCTGGGCAGTGTGAAAAGAGCCGGAGCTAAACCGAAGAACCGGTTCTGAACCTGAAAAGCTCTAGCACGGAGCTTGAACCGGAGTTGCGTTGGTGTGAATGAGGTATTTGTGTGCGTGGTGCTTTGTACCACTTGCAGGGCCGGAGCCTTTTATCTCCTGGGGTTGTGGCTCTATGTTCTGCTGTGCTACACATCCTTGTTGCTTTGTCTTCAAGTATATTCCCTGTTCTGACATCTAGCCAGAGATTGTGCTTGGTCATGTTAAAAGTCCTGCAATGTTTAAAAAAAATAAACTGTCATGCATTGTGCTCATGGCCTTAGTCAGTATGCCATCCTTGTAATAAAGTGACAGGAGTGACAGGCTGTCAGATTTGCTGAAAAGAAAGATAGCCAGACAGGGAGGGAGATAAAAGAGAAAGAGGGGCTCTTGTGGGAAAATGCTGAGCATCAGAAAGGTCATGGCGCAGAGTGCTGGGTCCACAGTGTGTCTGAGAATGTGTCACAATAGCTAAAACCAAGCAAATGTCAACAGCCATCCCACTTTACTGCGATGACTGAAACGAGTTTGAAAAGAGGAGAAGGGACAGTTAGCACCAGTCACTGACTCAACAACACACCGGCCAAAGCTGTCTACTGTATCAAAACACAACTGTTTGTGTACATATCTCATTTTGTATGTGTTTACTCTATGATTCTTGCAGACAAGGTACATTTGAGTTCACTTTCTGTTGCTGTATATTTTAAACACCAGGATACTGTTGATTCATTGAAGTAATACTTAAAACTTCATTACACAAAAGTCATTGCATCTTTTCTTACCGCACAAATCTCAGCCCAATCCTACCAAGCCCTTTTTGAGCAATTGTGATCAAGTAAACCTTTGTTTAGCTTGATAGAAAGTAGGGCTGCTCGATTATGGCAAAAATTATAATCTCGATTATTTGGGTCAATAATTGATATCACGATTATTAAAAACGATTATCCATTTACTTTGAAAACATCAATTTATTGAAAAAAAAATTTGAACAGTATGTTTTGAACAGTTGATTACCCTGAACTTTAAGTATAATTCAACTGAAACATTTATAAAAATAATTTTAAAAAAATAATAATTAAAAAAAAAAAAATAATAAAAAAAAAATCGTTTTATTTCGATTACGTTGTTTTCGTAATCGTCGCAAGCCATAATCGTAATTGCGATTAAAATACGATTAATTGAGCAGCCCTAATACAAAGTGCACAGTCGTGGAGAGAGAAAGTAGAAGGGAGGAGTGGTCATGTGGAATCCTCCTCAGTGTCACCTTCTGCCCCACTCCCTTCATTAATACACATGGCTGCTAACACAAACACTTTCTCCATCCCTCCTGTGGGATCCCTTCATTTCTTGAGAGCTGAAGCCTCTTCAAAAATAGGAAAGAAAATCTGGCTGTGTGACCAGAACCAGGATATATTAATAGGATGTGTTAACAAAGATAAAAAACCTCTTCCTAACATGTCCCACCATGCCTTTTGAGACGGAAATTAAATCCTGAGCCTCGGAAATGGGAAACGCGACCTTACACTTCTAAGAAAGAGTGAAAAATGTGATAATCTGGCAGCCTGACTTCTGCACATTCCAGGGCGTAATTGCCATGAATTAGACAGCAGGATGGATCGAGTGAGTAAAGAGAGAGGAGAGATTCATGCTTGACCATTAGCATCATCACGATGAGAAATGGAAGAGCATTTATTCAAATAGCTTCTACTAGAAATAAACTGTGTATGTGTGCGCACACATATACATCTCAGTGTATTCTGTGTGTTGGTGTGCTTCCTCGTGTCCTCAGATATGTGTGTGCCACAATGGCATGACCTCGGTAATTCACTCCCTGGAAGATTTCTCATAAATAACTAAACTCCATGCAAAATGCTGCGCCTTGGGGAGATTCTCTATCTGGGCTTCTTTGTCTGTGGGCTCAGAATAACTCCCTTTCTTGAGCGCCCCTACTCCAGTATTGAGTTGCCATGTTTCGATTAAAACTGTCTTTATATCCCCCTTTAAGTCCACAATTATATCAACACATGGTGTACTGGAGCGCTGTCTCTACATGCCACATTTGTGCGTGCATGCATGCATACCGCGTCTGTTTGACTTGAACATTGACTCTAACATACAGCCCATGACGCCTCGTGCTAGTGTAAAACCGACATATTGTTGCCTCTGGTGCTGCATCTGTTCTACATAGCAACAGGGAGACATGTTGGTCTGCTGCATGATTATCTCTTCCTCTTTTACACGTTCACACACACTTTCCCTACACTCCCTTCCCGTCACCCAAACGGGGTTTAGTAAAGGATCATTAAAAGTTGCAATAGCTCATACGAGGTAACTGGGACCACATGATGATTTATTCAGCATGGCTGGTTCTTATGTTGGAGCCTGGGCGGCTTCTCAATGGTAGCTGGTGCTCCATTGATCCTCTCTACAGGATGGATCTATAGAGGAAAGGCTGAGGTCTTTCTGATGGGCTTTGGATACCACACTATGTGGCCTTTACAACAGCATAGCTTCCTTTTTATGTCCACATGTTAATAAGTAGGACATGCTTTGTTTGTGTCACCATTATTTACTTCCAGTCTGACTCTGACTGGTTTCAGGATAACATTATTGCTTCTTACTTGGTTGCCATTACCAAGTGTGACGAGATGCTGATTTCGAAAGTGTTTTCTCCATTTTGTATTTCAATTAGATTTATTATTGAGGCAATACTCTTAGTGGGACTAAACATCGATCCTATCTGTTTGTTAAGACCACCACCTAAAAATGAAAAACAGTTTGTTGTGCACAGATCTTATAGGCTGAAGGAACAGTTGTACATACAGTACAGCTAGTGCTAGTATTGTAATGTATTCCGTTTTACAGCAATGCTTCTCCGTTTCCTAGCTTCTTATAAATATGTTTTTGGATGATGTAAGGTGTATCGGCACTTGCTAAGTAAAAACACAGCTCTGTTCTTCATGTACAGGAATAAGAACGCTCCTCAGCAAGACAGGATAACCTGGGTATGAAAGCAAATTGGTTGACATGAGTTTCCTTTTGATTTGAAAAAGAAAACTCCTAAAGTGTTCTCCTTTCTCTTCCTCCCTGCGATAATCTCTCACCCGTCAGGCAGCATGGTCCCAAGTACCTTGGTCCTGAGTCTCAGGGGGCCCAGGTAAGAGGCTAGTGGTGGCAAATGCCCTCTAAGCCGCATTAGCCCCGCTAGCTGCCCATGTGGCCTGCGGCGATAACAGCAATAACAAGAAAACACAGGCACTGCCACCAGCATTCATTCAGCCCCCCAAAAAATAAACAAATAAGAAAAAGGGCAACATTTCAGAAGGAAAGCAATCTCCCTCGTGTTTCCAAAACATTTCAGCTAAATCCCTCCACCTACCTCAAATGCATACACTCATTTTCTCTGCCACTACCATGGCTTAGTTAGCATATCTTTAATATTTCTGTGTGTATGTTTAATCATGAATATGTTTGTGTGTCTGCGCAGGTGACAACAGTGGACAGGTTCCAGGGTCAGCAGAATGACTACATCATCCTCTCCCTGGTCCGCACCAAAGCCGTGGGACATCTCAGGTAAATACTTGAAGTGCCAGGCAGAAAACCTTCAGTAGACGCCTTCAGCTGCTTTTCTACCACATCAAAATACATCTTTTAATATGATCTGCGCCTTAGATACACACCCTCCAGGGAAACCACACGGCAAAACGTCGGCACTAAACTCTCCTGAGACCGCTGCTCTCGGGAGGCGTTGTGCTTCTGTCATGTGTAACTATTCAATGAAGTTTGCTAAAAGACACAGTTGCTCTCTTGAAATGTGTGAGAGCTCAATTTGAGGCAGGGAGGATAAAGGGGGGCTTCGGGACGGGCGCATGTCTCTGGAGCTGAATGTATTCTGTGTCATGTTTAAGAGAAGCTATTGTGCTACGATGATTGGGGGGAGAGTATCAAACAAAGGGCTCTGCTCGGATCAAAGGCATACCATATAATAGTCATTAAGAGGCAGGAGTGTTAACCTAACTGCAGCGGTAGGTTTTATGTCTTTTTGTTTCATGTCCCATTGCTATCCGCTCAGCTCCTTATCTCTCTGCTTCCTCTTCTCTTCACTACCGCCTCATTTCAATGAATCGGTTCGTAGTGAAATGGCTTTTCACTTCTCGGCTGCCATGACGCCACTGATGAGCTCTTTGCGACTAATACGCTCCATGTTTTAAGACCAGACTATTGAGGCTCAACTCGGTGCTCCAGCTTGCCACGCTGGCCTCTGGCTGTGATGTACAGAAGCTGCTGTTGGAATTGCACCGCTCACCGCTTCAGCCCAGCTACACAGCCACTGCTCTCACCCACCCTTACACTGGACACTCTGCTAATTGGAACCCCAGCATGAATACTAAGCCATTTCTTTGGTATCTAAATACAAGCCTCCCCTATACACCCCACCCTTGAGCTTGGTCTTTTAGCCGGCAGCTAAACACTTAAAAACTCTATTTAGCTCTTTCCTCATTCCACAGATAAAGCAATGAATGGATGTAGCTGGGAATGAGAAGTGCTGCGGGCTACAGAGAGGGTAGTTCATCTTGCTGCCAGCGCCTGCTCTCCTCTCAGTATCATCCATTTGATCTTGTCTTACACTGCTCCCTGCTCCTATACTCATTCTCAGCCCACACAGAGTGGGAAGGTTGTCAAAGGTTGCCCCTTTAACAATGTGCTACAACTTCAGCACTATTGTAAATCCCTTCACTGACAGATAACTCAAGTTTTCATTATCCTGGATGAGTGCTTCCATCAATGAAGTTGATCTTATAGAGCCTGATAATATCATCGTGCTGTCAGCTTCTCACTATGAGTGATGAGCTACATCAGTGGTTCTCAAACTTTTTCTGGCAGGCCCCCCCTTTGGAGAAAAAAAGAAGTCGGGGCCCCCCCAACACAAATAGTCAGGCTCAGTGGCGGCGCCAGATATTTATTTTGGGGTGCTGTGGGGTAGCTTGACGTTTCATAGAGGGTTCTCAAACATTTAAGGTTTCCCATTAATGTACCGGTCGCTACAGTTGAATTTTCGACTGCAACAATCCCCACGCAAATACACAGTGTGACAGTTACAATGAAGGCTCGAGGCATATAGGTGTAAGCAGGGGTAAAGTGCTGCTTTTATAGGTGGTGTGTGGACCTCACAGAGAGGGGTCCGGGGGGCAAGCTTTTTTTTTTAATAACCATTTTTCCTCCTGGTCTCTTGCGGCCCCCCTGTCATGCCTCTGTGCCCCCCAGGGGGGGCGCGCCCCCCACTTTGGGAACCACTGAGCTACATGATCATGCAATGTTCTCTTATTTCTCATGTTATAACAATGGCAGGTTGTTTTATTAAAATGCCAAAATACATTACATCTAAACAGCTGAGTTTAAAGCATTTAAACAAAAACTGTCTTTAATTCCCTTTCTCATGAGCTTTGCTTTGACCTAATATTCATTCATATCTTGGCGTCGCTGACACTTCTGAATGGCCGCCTCAGTGATTAAAAGAGCAGGGGTTCATGGGAAATTCCTGTGCTGTCATTGTGTTTTTCCCACACAGGGATCACTGTGGTATACCGCTGAGTCCCACCTTACAACCCCCTCTCTTCATCTGCCCTCATGGCAATCTGTTGCCGTGACAACCGCAGGGGACGCAGCTGACCATATGACAAGCCGACCCCTTACTTTGTCAGGAGAGGCATTCCTGCTGATACACACACACACACACACACACACACACACACACACACACACACACACACACACACACACACACACACACACACACACACACACACACACACACACACACACAGAGCACCCTCTCTGACAGGGAGGAGCAGATCCAGACACGCTCTGACATGCACACACACACACACACACAAACACATGTGAGCACACATGCAAACGGCATGCGTCCACTTTGCCCTGCCATGTCACAGCACAGGTGGGCGTTTCAGTAGTGCCATGTCCACAGGCCACAAGCTCCACGATTGGTTCCCCTCTTCTTGAGCTCGGTGCTCATTGGTGAAGATTGTCTCTGTGGAAAGGTTGTGCTTTCTACTTTCATTTTGTAACATGCTTTAAAGGTGCAACCATTTGACATACACCTACCAGCCTGCTGCACATTACCTCACTCATAAACCCTGCGAGATGATTTCCATAAGCCTTTTTTTCTCTCCTCCTGCATATTCATGGGACCCATCATGCATATTGCAGTATTAATCCTCTTAATCTCATGAAGTGCTCAGGTGGTCATATTCCACATTTTTTGGCTGCATTTCAACATATGTATATGTTAATGTGTGTTGGTAAGCCAAAATTCTTGTACATCAAACCAAAGACGGTATCAGCACAGCTGCTTGAATAAGCCACACATAGGCTCTGCCTTCTTCTGTAGATTTTTATAAGCTTTAGTCCCACAGATTTATAGGCCAGCTGGTGTATTTTTGCAAAGCTCCATTTGGTCGACCATCCAAACACCTAAAACACAATACAAAGATATTTATGTGTGTATTTTATACATACAGTTTCAATGGTATCCCTTACATTTTCTGTGTATTTTTGAGCAGATTTTTGTGTCTTTCTGAATTTGTCAAATAGCTTCTGCTACTCTTCCACCGTATGAATGTATATAACATTACATGTCACATGTTAGACGCTTTTATCCAAAGCAACTTACATACTCAATACTGTGGGCAATCCCCAAAGGAGCAATTTGGGTTGAAGTGTCTCAGGGACACAACGACATGCTGACTGCAGTGGGGTTTGAACCTGTGACCCCCTGATCCGAACACCAACGCTCAACCCACTGCACCACAGGCCTCCAATATAACTTTAATTATAATAATCTAATATTTGGATGTGTGCTATGAAGTCAAAGGCATGTTGAAAGCATGGTTTTTTTTAAACAAACTCTGAGGCCATCAGAGCAAGCCAAGTTGCATTCCTTAGTTTCTTAAGAATACATTTATTTATTCTACTGGGTGGCAAGAAAAAGTGAGCTATCTCCCCTCTGTAGTTCTCTCCCACCTCTCCCTCTCTTTGTGTTTTGTTTATCCCTGCCCTTTGCCTTTCATTTCTCTCTTAGCCTGTACATTTGTCCTCCTTTCATGTTAGCAAGTTCGAGTCCCACTGCAGTCAGCATGTCGTTGTGTCCCTGAGACACTTCACCCCAAATTGCTCCTGTGGGGATTGCCCACAGTATTGAGTATGTAAGTTGCTTTGGATAAAAGCGTCTAACAAGTGAAATGTTATGTTGCTGCTCATCCTTCACTAAACCTCTTTCCTCCTACCCTTCACTGATTTTTCCATTCCTTTTTATAATACTTACTTCATCCTTGAAATGTGATCCCTTTACTTGTTTTAGACTTTGCCCCCTACACATGACTTCATCTCCTCTCACAATTTCACACTTGCCTCCCACTTCTTTGATGTTTTTCTCCCCTCTATCAAACCAATATTAAACTTGTTTTTCCTATTGCTCCACAGGGATGTGAGGCGTCTGGTGGTAGCCATGTCCAGAGCCAGGCTGGGTCTGTACATCTTCGGCCGGGTGTCGTTGTTCCAGAACTGCTTCGAGCTGACTCCTGTCTTCAACCAGCTCACCGCCCGACCCATGCAGCTGCACATCCGGCCGCACGAGTACTACAGCCAGGAACAGCCCGTACGTACACACAGGCACAAAACACTTTCTCAAAGCGCTTCCTTCTTCTACTCCATTACATTTGGATGATAGTCAAGAACTCAAGCTCTGTATCCAGTTATGCCAGTTTCCACATAACTGTTGCGCACTCCAAAGCCCCTTGACTCTGCTAATCCTGCTTCTATATTCTGAATGGCATCTTCTCTCCCTTTGTTCCTCGCTGGTTCTAAGTCTTACAGCCACTTCGCCCATAGGCCCTGCCCTGTTAACAGCATTCTGCAGGGGCCATCTGAAAGCATAGGAAACACAGGCCTGGCTATAATTAACCCTCAAAGGTCAGAAGGCTAAAGCACTCTAACCAAATCCCGCCAGGCCAGCATGAGACGACTGTTGTCTGGTCACTGTGTCTCGCTGACTGGCGTGTGTGGCAACAGGGCCGTCTAAAATACCCCTCAGCCTGTGACACTTCCACTGACTCCAGAGTGTTCGTCGCCGGGGGGGACAGCTCTTTTGGGCACACACATGCGGCCCTTGCTTAGCCCGTCTATCTGGAGTCGGTAACCCCTGCTGCTTACACGCAGATGCAGATTTAAAAGATTCCGACTTTTGACTGATCAGAACTTTGACAGGCTACTTAACAGTGCTGATTCAGAGGCAGAAACTAAACCATAAAGGATGCTGCTTGATGCTCCATATGGATATAGGCGTATTTACAGCACCGTTGAACAGTATTGGACAGGCCGTAAAGCTTAATGTTTAATCACACTTAACCACTGGGCAACACTTCATGATGTTTTTACAGTAATAAAACCACACATGGTTAAGTTTTACAGTACTGATGCCCTGAGGGCCTCTGAGCACCAAGCATGTCTTTAGGAGCAAGCAGATTAAACATTCTGCTCGCTTCGCTCCTCAGTTTAGGCTGTCCGGCTCTGTCTGCATACTGATACTGTCAATTAAAAACTCCAAACCTCTTGATAGTACGTGAGCAGCGATCGCATGAGACAGTGGGCGAGAAATTGGCTTTCAAATAACGAACATAGTGGAATTGTAATTTCTGTGCACATTTGCATCACATCAATAGTTAACCATGCTAACAAGACCGATATACATCATTACCATTCCCTTCACGTCATCTTTCTCCTTCCTTCCCTCAGAGAGATGCTTCTGGACAGAAAGACCAAATCATCAAGAACATGCCAGAGATGACCAACATGGTGTATAACATGTACATGCACATGATCCAGACCTCCCAGAAGCACCGACAGGTAAAACATTTCATAAATACAATGAGTGTCAAAGGATGTTTTACTTAAGCAATCATACACGAGAGGCTGTTCTTGAACGTCATTATTGGTACGACAGTACTGCGGCAGGACCGAGGTGCTTGCGCCGAGGTCCGTACGCCTGTACTGGAAAAATAATTTCATAATGTGGGCTAATTCACTCCCAAACCTACGCTTTCTGCTTGAGTTAATCTCCGTCAGAAAGTAGTTCCTAGAAAGTAGTTCCCATGGTAACGATAGTACAGTAAGCTGTTCAGCTCCGTTGGTTTTGTGGTCTTTGTCCATGTCCAACCATCCATCAATACTGAGGCCCCCCAACAAATCAAAATTAACTTTAAAATCTGACATTTTGTAGCTACCGATTTCCAACGAGAGACAATGTATAACAGTGTAACGGCTGTGTGTCGCTAAACGTCGCTATGGAAACCACACGATGTAGGCTCATGGAAGTAGTTTCGGTAGGCTAGTGGCATGTGTAGGCCACTGGATACTTTGTGATTAGGCACGTTCTATTTGATCGTTGTTTGATCGTGGAATCAAACACGCCTATTGACCAATCAGAGAGCTTGCTCAAACCTATGTGTTATAGAATGTATCATTCAAATCACAGCAGCATGTTGTCGTTTCGAAAAGGAGAGGCTTATAATCCTTAGAATATTTGAGAACTGTTACTACTTTGAGTGTACACATGTTTTACCAACACAATTCTGTCTTACACTTTCTTTTAGTCGTTGTGATATTCAGCACTAAAGCAGTGCTAAAAGCTGTCCCTGTCTCTGTTGCTATTTTAGTATTTGTAATGCAGAGCAGTAAATAAGTGAGATGTTAGAGTTGTTGTAGTTTGCGTGTTGAGAATTAACAAGCTGAGCATAGTAAGAGTGCAGGAGATTTTTACACTACGTTCATATTTTATGTGCTGCCTTGAAAAGAGGATTATGGCATGACAGGGGGAGAAGAAATGAGAAAAAAGGCTTCTCTGCTGGGAAAGGAATAAATACTACACTGCCATCATTAAAGATGATTTCCCAGTAGAACGCACTAAGATGTAATAATGTGAATATTTTCCTTTCCACCATTTTTTTTAGCAGCAGCAGCAGAAACTGGCTCTGCCTCCACAACAAACCAAGCCTGATGCTGTGGATGAGGAAGTGTCAGTTAGCGCCGAAGAAAAGCCAGAAGAAGAAACCCCCATGGAGCAGGAAACCCCAGAAGGAGAGCCAAACCCAGAAGGAGAGGCGACCCCAGAGCCAAACCCAGAGGACACTAGTGAGAAGGAGAAGGAGGAGGAACAGCAAGAAGCAGTGAGCCATGCTAAGATGCCAGAGCATCCCGGCAGAGACAGCGACAGTGACGAAGAGGAAAATGAAGGGGAGCAAAAGCAGTAGAGCATCTTCTTCTGGGACTGCTGTCTAATTAAGGGCCTCAGTTATTTAGGGGACCGAGTGGATTGTCCCTTGAGAAAAGATTAGTGGAAAGTCAGTGATTTTGTATTTGTTTCTGCTCCAAGCAGATCCTGGTGATAATGTTTCGTTTTTCTATACCATTCAATTTTGTAACCATCAGTCCTTTTTTATTAAAAGAATTGCAAATCCTTCATTGTCTGGGACATGTTTAACTATGTGTGCACTCATCAGAGCTTATAATGCTCAGAGGTTCTAATCTGTGTCCCTCTCACACGCACCCTCTCAGACAAATACAGCGTATATTCGACATATTTAAGCCTTGTTAAAATCTCTGTCATGACACTTGCATCCATTCATCTGCTTCCACCCTCTGCTTTACACACAAGTCAAATCTGATTGGCTCAGCCTATACCAGCTACAGAAGCTGCGACTAAGCTGCATTTGTAGGTCAGTCACTTCACCCAAGGGTACGTGTGCATGCTGGGGGATTTGGGCTTTGCCCTCTGGATGTACACATTCACTCAACCAAGCCTTAAATACTCATTCATAACTTTTTGTGGAATACTGACAGCAGAATATCTCATCAGGGGGATCAGTGTCTGGGTTGAGGCTTGACGACCAAATTTAGGACAAATAGTTTAAAGCTCAATATTTGTGTCAACATCAAAAACAAAGCCAAGTTCCAACCCGGGTATCGGTAGTTAAAAGGCTGTAAGAACATTTGTATGTTTAAGACAATGTATAAAGAAAGCGTAATTAGACGGTATGAAGTTGACTTTTGATTGTGTTCTGGTTTTGTTTCAGTATTTGTAAGCAACTGTGACTGAAAGAATATTGCTTTTAATTGACTTTTTTATGGTTATTTTTTTTTTAAGAAGGGACGGGTAAAATAAGATCTCCCTGCTCCTTTCCACCATGCGCTATAATTATTATTATTTTTAAACAGTATAAGAGTACATGTTTTGTTTTAAAATAACTGCCATGTGTGGAATAAACAACTAAATAAAGCACAAGTCCACTTAAAATAAAGAGGTTAACAAGGTCCACAGCCCTTTAGGCAAAAACACAGAGTGGAAATGCATTCATTATCATGCACCAGAGGTTGGTTGTTGTTACATCATACCTCGGGCAGGCTGAGGGAGCAGGTCAACTGCACAGCTGCTCCAGCCTGGCCCAGTCTAAAGACCTGACGGAGAGAACCATGTGTTGATAGATGTGGAAAGACATATTTTCAGCATTCAGTCAAGTGTGGCGCCATGTAACGTCTATTTTTCCATCTTCTGAGAGCAGGGCACCCCGGGTCGAAGTTTTCTCGTGAGTATTTTGGAGTAGTACCTCTCTGTCGGCTGAGGAAAGGATTAGAAGGAGCGGCTAGATAAGGAAGATAATCCCTGTCGGCTGAGGCCCTATGTGCAAATTCTTGACAATTTTGGCATAAAGCCTACTAGAACAATGTAATATATCACATGATGGGGAAATATTTCATGATTTGTACTGGACAAATCACAATTACACACATGTTCATGGTGGATCGTCTATAGCACTAGTTTTTTTTTTTACAAACACATGACATCCTGCATGCTTTTCACTGAGTCACATGAGTCTTTATAGTGTAATATCCTCCCTCCGCTAACACTTCCTTACTAACTTGCTGCTTTCTCTCAGCCGGACTCATGATAATTCAGTTGCCTGTGGTGCCTTGTTGTAAATTAGAGCTAACTGGTGGGAAGTGACTACTGCTCGCACACAACATCCCTGGAAGTTTCTAGCAGGATTTGAGAGACTGGGAGACAGACCTACAACCAACAGGAGCTCACATCCTCCAGAACATTCCTCTGCTGAAGGTGAACATGTCTTTTATACTTACACGACAGGTATTCATTAGATTAATAGCTACTCTGCAATGCTTTCACTTCTAACCTTTGCTATCAGCTAGTGTGTCAGAGAGACTAACAGCATGCAGTAGAAGTGTTAATGTACATTTGGCCATGAGCATATGCATTATGGTATTGGTATCTTTATACTGACTTGTAACTTGCCACATAAAAATGTGTTTTATGCTGCAACAGAGATAGCATTGAATCTGAAAAGAGGCATTTTGTATGTAATATTGCAGTTATTCAGTCGAGTGGTTAGAAAAAAAGTACTTGTACGAATGTAAGTCATTTTATGGAAGAGCAGCAGAGAGCACTGAAGTGTTTTATTTGTGATTTTATGGTATGACAGAGTCCATTTGTACTGGCTGCACTATTTTATTGTTCCTCTTAAGAAAATGCAGTTGCTGGTGTCTAGTATTTTCTCTTTTTAGTGTAAAGGCGTTTCCAAAATATCGGGTTTGCCATCACAAACACTCATGTTCAGTGTGTCGTTTATTGCCCAACCCTAAATGACAGTAGTGTCACAACAGGAAATTACACATTGCATCATCAAGAAGATGGTATTTCCTGCCGGGGGGAAGCATCTGAACATTGTGTCTTCTTAAAGCTGAATGAGGTTGAGGAAATCCGCCTGACTAGCATGCGACAAATCCACACTCATAAAACCATCAATTCTACAATTTGAACTTTAAGGCTGGGCCTCAGGGCGGATCTTTCTAGGGAATTATAGACCACATAAAACATCTACTGTTTGTCATTATATATAAATAAATATATGTTTGTATAACTTTTGATTAAAGAGGCAAAATGCTTAGCTTGCTGAAACTGAAAGTTAGATTATATCAATATCAGTTTTAGTTTTGTGTTTAAATATATGCGTCACTTTAATCACGCCTGACCTCACAGCTGGTGGTCAGGTTGCTATCAGTTAGCAAACGAATACATTTCACCAGTAACGATATACATATACAGTATAGTATATGTGTAGATGCATAAATCCTCAAGTTGGAAGTGTTCACAAATTGCACTGCATTCCAATTAGCAACTTTTCATTGCGGACGATACAACAGGCACTTTTATGGCTTAAAACAGCAGCAAATCATACTCCTGGGTCACTGTTTGTGATCTGCGTTGACAGATAAAGTAATGCTCATTACTAAAGTTATGCATGATCTCCGCTGATCTGCTATTAGCGGGTGACTAATGTGCCGACGTTAGTCTTCGACACTCCGTGAGTGGGCGGCCTGCTGACCCCCGCAGGCAGACAGGACTGGTGGTTATTGCTTCTGGTTGCCAGGGTGACGGCCCCTAGGCCTCAGATCCAATTCCTTGGTTAGCCACTCCCCCAATCAGGAGAGATTGCTGACACCTGATTTAGGTTGACTGCTCAGCTACAAGTTTGGGTGCCTGAGCAGTCAGTCTCTCTCTCTCCTCTTGGCTTGCTTGGCACTACTGGATCTTGGTTTGTTTGTCTTAAATAAATGTACTTTAATTGGATACGAATCATGTGTGTTCTCCTTCTTTTGTCCGTCCTTGAGCCAGGGCGTGACACCAGTTTATCATGCTTTGTAGAGGCCAATGCTTAATCCTGACAACCTACCAGATCATCAACCGGGCACGTTTCATTCTGATAATCTGCTATCTTCACTAAAGAGTCACGGCTTCAGACAGCATCACACTCGGATGCTATTGTAGTGACTGAGTGTTTTTACTGAACCTATAGTGCACTTCTGCCAGGCTCCCACACATTTCAAAGCTCAGTTATAGCTTTGTGAGTTTTGCTTTGCAAGTCATGCTGTTGTCCACTTTGATCTCCCACTCTCATTTCCCTCTCTACCTCCCAGACTAGGATGGCAGATAGCGGGTCGTGTTTATGGAGCATCATCTGGCTGGTGGTTCTGCTCTTCATCGGCTGGCCCCTCAGCATCCTCCTCGGGGGTCTCTACGGTCTCTTCTGCCCCCTCACCACCTGCCTCGGCCTGGACAGACTCTCTGATCTGCTCCTGGAGGGGGCCAACCTGGGCCGCACCTGTGCCAATAACATGAGGCACAGCAAGCCTATGTGTTAAAATCCACCCAGAACCAGAGATGGGGGGGGGAGAGATTGGTGCCTTTCTACTGAAAAACATCCTTTGCTTTAAGGGGAATCATACCTTTATTTGTCCCACAGAGGGGTTAATATCTGTTTCATGTGGAGATGTCATCAGATGATTGGCACTCGATACAGCAAGGAACTGTTTAGCAAGTTATGTAACAAAAAGTTCCAGAAGGTTTGCAAAATAGATTCCCCGTGATCTGTTAACATGTAATTAACCACGGATTTGAAATTTGTATGGGTATGTCTGGAAGAAAATAGGCTTTGTGTTCATGGTCTGTGTTTGCTGTTTAATTCACGATGACACTGCATGCAGAAGATAAGAATGAAAATGGCATTTTAACAATGGAAATGCTTAGACTTGTAAATGACTGTATGGAAACTTTTAATGCGATTAAATAGCTTTGAAGTTGCCCTCTGTATTTGTCGAGTGACTTATTGTACACAGTATTTGGTTGGAAATCCATGTTGGAGAATTTGAAGGTGAAGGTAAATGGAGATGCAGAAAAAGCAGGAGATATAAAAAGATGGATTTATAGTTTCCTTTGATATTTCTGTTTACCTGCTTTTATCCTTAGGTCATAGGAGATAGAAAAAACACTCACAAAGTAAATAACATGACTTTGCAGAAAGTGTAAGACTTTCTCTAGAAAAACTTTAAACTTTGAGGTGGCGACTACATTGGGGCGACCCATTGTTTTAAGGGTTGTCAAATATACTTCAATCATTTAGGTTCCCTATACCCAGATTGCAACTGGATAAGGGCTCAATAAGTAAGATTGTTATTAAAGTTACAAGGTTTAGGTCTCTTTCTTCCACTATAGCCTTTGAAAACAAACTTCTTAAGTAAAGATTGAAAAGTTTTGACCAAATGCTGTGAAGAAGTATGATCCAAGTGTTTGATGGCTGCACTGAAGTTTTGACAGTATGGGTTCATGCCAGTAAGTTATTAAATTCTGAAAGCCAACACCCAGAGGAAAGGGTGAAAAGTTCTCAGAGAAGAACTTTGGAAAGTGAGGAGGACTGAGTATAATTATATGAGCCCAGAGCTAAAAACTGAAAGCTGGCTTCTCTTAGCACACTGAAAGTTGACATTTCGTTTTTCACAGGACAGTAACATAACATTTACATGATTCTACTCTATGGAGATTTTAAATTTGCCTGTGCTCATGATGAGAGGCTTTTTATCGCCTGCTTCATTCTGTAAATAATCCGCAAATT